TCTTGAGTGCCCCATTCCACATCTCGGTTCAGTAAGCCACTAGTGAGAGTCTATTAGCATCATAATTAGGTGTTAGGGGTTAAGAGATTAATATGGAAAGATTCTTGCTCTCAAAGGAATTACAGAAGAGCCATATTCATAACCTAAGGTGTTTGTGAAAGCATTTTATAAACCATATTACCATATAAACTTTTTTTTTTAAAGATTTTATTTATTTATTTGACAGAGAAAGATCACAAGTAGACAGAGAGGCAGGCAGAGAGAGAGAGGGAAGCAGGCTCCCCGCTGAGCAGAGAGCCCGGTGCGGGACTCGATCCCAGGACCCTGAGATCATGACCTGAGCCGAAGGCAGAGGCTTAACCCACTGAGCCACCCAGGCGCCCCCATATAAACTTTTTATAAATTGTGACATACAAAAAGGAAAAAGATAAGAGAAGGAAAGGAAAGGAGAGGAGGAAGGAAGGAAGGGAAAGCGGGGGCGAGGGGAGAGGGAGAGAGAAAGGAAGGAAGGGGGAAGGAAGGAAAGAAGGAAGGAAGGAAGGAAGGAATTGTGAGATATAATAATTTCTCTTCAGTCCTAATTATCCCTTTTTTCCTAATTTTTTGTGTGTTTTTTTTTAAAGATACTATTTATTAATTTGAGAGAGAGAATATGAGCAGGGAGGGGAAGGGAGAGAGGAAGTGGGACAGGTAGAAGCAGACTCCCCATTGAGCAGGAAGCCCTATGTGAGGCTCAATCCCAGGACACCAAGATCATGACCTAAGCTGAAGGCAGAGGCATAACTGACTGAGCCACCCAGGTGCCCCAATCCTAATTACTTCTTTAGACTCACTATAATGAATTAATCTTCCATACATTCTTAAAGTCCTTTCAGTTTCCTAAATACGTCTTGTCTACATACCCTCACATCTTAATCTCAAACATTTAACATTTCTTCCCCTTCCTTTTCTTTTTTTTTTTGAGTAATCTTTACTCAATGTGTAATCAATGTGGGGCTTGAACTCACAACCCCAAGATCAAGAGTTGCATGTCCTCTGGACTGAGACAGCCAGGTGCCCCAAACATTTCACGTTTTAAAAATACTTTCTTGGGGCATCTGGGTGGCTCAGTGGGTTAAGCATCTGCCTTTGGCTCAGGTCACGATTCCAGGTCCTGGGATGGAGCCCTGAGGCAGGCTCCCTGCTCAGCAGGTGAGTCTACTTCTCCCTCTCCCTCTGCTTCTCTCCCCGGTTCGAGTTCGCTCTCTCTCAAATAAATAAAATATTAAAAAATAATAAAAATAATAAAAATAGTTTCTTTCTCTATACCAAATGCTAACTTTTCTAGTCTTGGTATCTTTTCAATTTTCTGGTTAATCTTAACCAGACTTCCCCCACCAATTATTTATACTTTCTCTACTATCTTCTTGTTTGCACTTCCATGTCATAACAAGCATGCTTTGTGAAGTGTTTACACATGCACATAAATAAGATCTAAGTTTTAGCTGCTCATTATATATTTATTTATTTATTATATATATATTTATTCTTCCTCTCTCGACTACTTATCCTATCAAAGATATACCATACTTAAGCACAGTATCTGTCTGTTGCCAAGTATGTATTATAATTCCACCTTTTTAATATACTGTACCTTGAAAAGAGTATATTTACATGATTTTTTTTTCTTGTTGCTCATGAAGCAGGTATTAAAAAACAAAAAACAAAAACCTCCTAAGCATCCCACAGTTAAAATATTCTACTAACAGAATACTTATAAGTGAAAACAAAAGTATTTATTGATAGTAAGAGCACGGATGCATAATATAAAACACAAAAACCACCACCAACAACCAATTTTTAAGAGGTTAAAATCAAGGGGCACCTGGGTGGCTCAGCTGGTGAACCGTCAGACTCTTGATTTTGGCTTGGGGTCTCAGGGTCATGAGATGGAGCTCCAACTGGGCCTTCATGCTCAGTGGAGAATCTGCTTGAGGGTCTCTCCCTCCACCACTCCCCCTATTCACACACACTTGCGAGTTGTCTCTCAAATAAATCTTAAAAAAAGCAGGGGGGGTGGTTCCTGGGTGGCTCAGTCATTAAGCATCTGCCTTTGGCTCAGCTCATGATCCCAGGATCCTGGGATCGAGCCCAGCATCTGGCTCCCCGCTCAGTGGAAGCCTGCATCTCCCTTTCCCACTCCTTCTACTTCTGTTCCCTTTCTCTCTGTCAAATAAATAAATAAAATCTGAAGATGGGAAATGTAATGTTGTATCTAGCAAGTAAAAACCATCCAAGTAAGACATTCTTTTTTTTTTTTTAAGATTTTATTTATTTATTTGACAGACACAAGTAGGCAGAGAGGCAGGCAGAGAGAGAGAAGGAAGCAGGCTCCCTGCTGAGCAGAGAGCCTGATGCGGGGCTCGATCCCAGGACCCTGGGATCATGACTTGAGCTGAAGGCAGAGGTTTTAACCCACTGAGCCACCCAGGTGCCCCAAGACATTCTTTAAATATCAAAAAGGTTTTCAGTTGATTAAATTTTTTTTTTTTAAAGATTTTATTTATTTACTTGAGAGCGAGACAGTGAGAGAGAGCATGAGCGAGGAGAAGGTCAGAGGGAGAAGCAGACTCCCCATGGAGCTGGGAGCCCGATGTGGGACTCGATCCTGGGACTCCGGGATCATGACCTGAGCTGAAGGCAGCCGTCCAACCAACTGAGCCACCCAGGCGTCCCTTTTCAGTTGATTAAAATCTTCAAAGAGGGCACCTGGATGGCTCAGTGGGTTAAAGCCTCTGCCTTCAGCTCAAGTCATGATCCCAGGGTCCTGGGATCGAGCCCCGCATCAGGCTCTCTGCTCAGCAGGGAGCCTGCTTCCTCCTCTCTCAATCTGCCTGCCTCTCTGCCTACTTGTGATCTCTGTCTGTCAAATAAATAAATAAAATCTTTAAAAAAAAAAAAATCTTCAAAGATAAAAATATTTATACCTCATCCTTAAAAATAATTTATTATACAAATGTACCATTCTAAGAAACAGTTTATTATATAATCAAGTATTTTAATTTCATAAATAAGGGTGGTTGGTAAAAATTTAGCAAAAAATATGGGGGAAACTTACAAAATAATATACCTTAAGCATAAAAAATGCTAAAATCACTCAAAGTTATAAATATTTTTTTTCCCCAGGTAATATATATCACTAAATGCCAGGGAACAAATATTTGTTAAATCATAGTATATGGGGGGGGGAGGTATGTGTATGTGTGTATGTGTCTCAGTGTAAACTGCACAAATACAATTATATATATATATATATATGCATTGTGTATGTTATATATATCTAATTATATCTAGATGTATACATTATATAGATATCTAAAGATACCTACATATATGATCTCACTAGAGAAGATAACATAAAGTAACTTACTTTAATTTATTGTATTTTATTTTGACTTAAATTAAGTTAAATTATTTTGTTTCAGAATCTGGAAAGTTTTTTTCACAGACAGGAGGAAAGTTTTTATTTTTAGGGTTTTAGAGCATCTGGTGATTATAGCCAAAGGTATTGTATTGGAGAACAGGAAGAATAAGCAATGACAAACACAGGAGGATAGGATTTAGATGAAACTAGAATATGGAGAAGCAGTACATTTGGACCTGATAACAGGAAAAATAAACTCTCAGGTGTCTTTGTTATTTTTATTTTATTTATTTTTAAGTAATCTCTATGCCCAATGTGGGGCTCGATCTTACAACCCCAAGATTAAGGGTCACATGCTCTACCAACTGAGCCATCCAGGCGCCCCTAAATTCTAAGGTACCTTTAAATGATGAGAAACAGGGCGCCTGGGTGGCTCAGTGAGTTAAGCCACTGCCTTCGGCTCAGGTCATGATCTCAGGGTCCTGGGATCGAGCCCCACATCGGGCTCTCTGCTCAGCGGGGAGCCTGCTTCCCCCTCTCTCTCTGCCTGCCTCTCTGCCTACTTGTGATCTCTGTCAAATAAAAAAAAAAAAAATGATGAGAAACAGAATAAAAACTTAAGCCAGGGGCACCTGGGTGGCTCAGTGGGTTAAAGCCTTGGCCTTTGGCTCAGGTTGTGATCCCAAGGTCCTGGGATCGAGCCCCACATCAGGCTCTCTGCTCAGCAGGGAACCTGCTTCTACCTCTCTCTCTCTGCCTACTTGTGATCTCTGTCAAATAAATAAATAAAATCTTAAAAAAAAAAAAAAAGATAGTAATATTTTTTTTAAAGCCAAATTCTGATTTCTCAGTCCCAATGTATCCATAAAAATATATAAGAAAATATGTTTCCTACTAAATATGGAAAGGTAATGTCTTCCATGGAGTTTAACTTTTTATATCCTCTGCCTTACTTTTCAGGGAAAAGAAAACTGTTTTCACTCTTAACTACAGACCAATGATGATCATTTACTCTGAGACAGACAACAAGGTATCAATCAGCTTTCATTCCTGTCTCTCCTGCTGCTTCTCTGTGTAGTGCTCTAAAAGAGACCTGAAACATTGGGAAAAAGCTAATTTACCTTTTTAAAAAAAAATAAGACCAACACTCTTAAGGCTTCAAACAAGACCAGATCACAGCTTCAGGTCTGTAGAAGAATTACAGGGCAGACACATAATCCTATTCATAAACAGCAACCAGTGTTAACAGTTGTTTCATTTTCTTCTTTTCTCTTCTCTCCAAGACTAATTAGCATTACACACAGTGTGTTCCTTGTTACAAATGCCTTCTTTCAGTGTTAGAACTATAGTATCTTTTGATTACCCACAACTCTGATCTAGTTTTTCAGTTATGCAAAAGCCAAACACTCTTTGTAACACTTCAGACTAGCTAAACCAAAAAAAAAAAAAAAAAGAAAGTGATTTTAATAAGATAGAAACAACTATCACAAGTGGATGTGACATGTATACTACCTTCACTTTGTGAATCATCATCACTTCAAAGATAAACTATAAAAGAATACCTTAAAAAAAAAAGAATACCTTTTTATATACTTACTGCTGAAAGGCTGCCATTGTATTCTCCAAATTTTCTCCAGCACCTGTGAAAACATTAAATTTAAATTTCATTTACTAGCTAATTTCAACTTTAAAAAAATTTTTAAATTTTTAAAAGATTTTATTAATTTATTTGAGAGAGCACACACATGCACAGGAGTAGGAGGGAGAAGTGGAAGGCGAGGGAGAGGGAGAAGCAGACTCCCCTCTGAGCAGGGCTCAGGGCCCAATCCCAGGACCCTGGGACTATGATCTAAATGAAGGCAGATGCTTAACCGACTAAGTCACCCAGGCTCCCCTAATTTGAACTTTTTAATTTTTCCAGAAATTAACTTTAATAAGCTACATCTAGTGAATCTCGATGTTTACATACTGTGTAGACATTACAAGTTTTTAAAAGAATGTAATGGTATTTTGAATTCTTTTTGGCTGCACCAGGAAGAATCAAAGATTAAAACAAAGCCGCAGCAACACAGAAAGGTTAGAACCTAAACATGTTTTTTAAGCTACAATATCTGCTCATCATAGGAAAGACAGAAGAGGACCTGGTATATATATATACCTCCTCAGAAACAGTTAATCTATCTCCTCTGCATCCCCAAACTCTCTTACGCATCTCTCTAGTAAGAATTTATCACATTATCGGGGCGCCTGGGTGGCTCAGTGGGGTAAGCTGCTGCCTTCGGCTCGGGTCATGATCTCAGGGTCCTGGGATCGAGCTCCGCATCGGGCTCTCTGCTCAGCAGGGAGCCTGCTTCCTCCTCTCTCTCTGCCTGCCTCTCTGCCTGCTTTGTGATCTCTCTCTGTCAAATAAATAAACAAAATCTTAAAAAAAAAAAAAAGAATTTATCACATTATAGCATAAATTATAAAACTGACTCCTCCTTTTCCTATGAATTACTGAAAATAAGTTCCTGTTTTAATCGCTTTGGCTGAAGACAACGTAGTGCAGTAGTTAAAGGTGGAGTTAGGATCTTTGCTCACAAATCTACTTGATATTTGCTTGACCTTGGGAAAGTTACAAAACCTCCCTGAGGCTGAGCTTACTTATCTGTAAGAATGAGGGATGCCTAGCCATCTTAGAGGAGTGTGAGATTCTTGATCTCAGGGTTGGGTGTTTGAGTGCCACATTGGGGGTAGAGATTACATTTAAAAAATTAGAATTAAAAAAAAATATTTTTATTAAGTCTACCCCCAAAGTAGGGCTCAACCTCATGACCCCAAGATTAAGAGTCACATGCTCTACTGACTGAGCCAGGAGCTTCCCCACAAAAATAAAATCTTAAAAAAGAAAAAAAAAAAAAGAATGAGGATAAAGGTTGGCATCTATTTCATAGGATTGGTGTAGTTAAATGAATTCACATGTCAGGTGTCCTACGTCATCAATTCGAAAAATGAGTTTTTCCCTTTTAACATCTCATAAGTTAGGATGCATTTTACAACAGATGGTGTGTAATAGTTGTTTTATTTTTTAAGACCTTAGAGAGGGTCTTTCTTTTTTTTTTTAAGATTTTTATTTATTTATTTGACAGAGATAGACACAGTGAGGGAGGGAACACAAGCAGGGATATTAGGAGAGGGAGAAGCAGGCCTAATGCTGAGCAGGGACCCAGATGCGGTGCTGGATCCCAGGACCCTGGGATTATGACCTGAGCCAAAGGCAGACACTTAACAACTGAGCCACCCAGGCGCCCCAGATGTTATGTAGTAGTTTACTTGGCAAGATTTTCTCTCTCTTAGCAGTATGTTAAATATGTGCATTTTAGGGGTGCCTGGGTGGCTCAGTCAGTTAAGTGTCCGACTCTTGCTTTTGGCTCAGGTAATGATCTCATGAGTGCAAGACTGAGCCATGTGTTGGGCTCTGTGCTGGGCTTGGGGTCTGCTTAAGATTCTTTCTCTCCCTCTCTCCCTCTGCCCCTCCCCTACCTCAAAAAGAAAAAATGTGCATTTTATAATTAATGGCATTAGAGTTAATGAAATAGTTAATATTCCGTGAAAGTAAAGGATTACTGCTATTATTATTGCTATTGCCACTGTTACAGTAACTGGTACTTGGTGGAGGTCCACTGACTGATGAGTGACAAATATTGCAATGACAAAAAGGACACATATACAAAGTATCTAATTATCTAATATTATATATACTAGGTAGAATCAATTAACATAACACGCTAGTCATAAGATTTAAAATCTTTTAAAACTAAAAGATTTCAGTATTATTAAATAATTAATGGAATGTACAGGAAAAACACTTAGGAAATACTTTTCCAAATACTTAAGAAAAACAGCCAATTTCTTTTTAGCAAAAAGAAACACTTCAAGTTTATGGCACTGTTCAAGTATTAGCATTAAAATGTACATACATACATACATACATACATACAATGCCACCTGGACATATTTGTGAGAGTATTAGAATTTTCTTCTTATAGTGTTAGATTGTGCTTCCATGGCAACCTAATTAATAATCAATAGAAACACAAAGTATGAAGAAATGAATATATTAGCTGAATGTTCTAGAGTTCCATAGTTCAGTAGAGAGAAAGGAATACTCATGTAAAAAAAGCTACTTTGATTTTAGGTTTACTTTAGTCACTACAGTTGATGCACAATAGAAAACAGATGAAGTAAATCTGAAGATTATAGCTTTTGTAAAAATAAGTGCTCTTTAAAAAAAAGTAAGTGCTCTTTCAAGGTTAAATTATGTTTTCTGTTTCTTTTTTTTTTTAAGATTTTAAAATCTTATATTTTTTATTATTTCTAATAAAAAAAATCTGAGCAGAGAGCCTGATGCGGGGCTCGAGCCCAGGACCCTGAGATCATGACCTGAACTGAAGGCAGAGGCTTAACCCACTCAGCCACCCAGGTGCCCCACTTTTTCTTAAAGATTTTTTTTTTTAAGATTTTATTTATTCATTTGACAGATAGAGATCACAAGTAGGCAGACAGGCAGGCAGAGAGAGAGGAGGAAGCAGGCTCCCTGCCGAGCAGAGAGCCCGATGCAGGGCTTGATCCCAGGACTCTGGGATCATGACCTGAGCTGAAGGCAGAGGCTTTAACCCACTGAGCCACCCAGGTGCCCCATCTTAAAGATTTTCTTAACTTTATTTATTTACTTGACAGAGAGAGAGAGAGTGCAAGGGGGGGGGGGGGTTTGCAACAGGCAGAAAGAGAGGGAGAAGTGGGCTCCCTGCAGAGTAGGGAGTCCAACTTGGGGCTTGATCCCAGGACCCCGGATCACAACCTGAGCCGAATGTGACATTTAACCAACTGAGCCACCTAAGTGTCTGGTTAAGTGACTTTAAAAAATCTAGTTGGTGTTGGGGTACCTGGGTGACTCAGTCAGTTAAGCCTCTGACTCTTGATTTCAGCTCAGGTCATGATCTCAGGGTGGTGAGATCAAGCTCCATGTTGGGCTCTGCACTGCGTGGAGTCTTCTTAGGATTCTCTCTCCTTCCCTCTGCCCCTCCTCTCTTTCTCTCTCTCTCTCTCTTAAAAAAAAAAATCTAGTTGGTATTTGTTTTAGTCAAAAACTATGGAAATACGTTATATTCAAATAATCAATATTCAAGAACAAAACACTCTATAATATGACCACAAAAGACAAGAGTGCTACTTTTTTTTGTTAACATTTTATGAAAATTAACTATCTTCCATATTTAATGAAGAGTGGCATTATTTTACATTTTTGCAAATCTCTTTAATGCTTTATAGAAGGCAGCTGCATTCTCATATCTGTTTCATTCATGTATACCAACCTTCATACAGATAGCCAGTTGGAAAGACTCTTTTTTGATACTGCACCAGAATTTAGTAAGTGGTAGTTTCTTTTTCTTTTCTTTTCTTTTTTTTTTTTTTGAAGATTTTATTTATTTATTTGACAGGCAGAGATCGCAAGTAGGCAAAGAGGCAGGCAAAGAGAGTGTGGGAAGAAGGCTCCCCACTGAGCAGAGAGCTCCATTCAGGGCTCAATCCCAGGACCCTGAGATCATGACCCTGGCAGAAGGCAGCGGCCTAACCCACTGAGCCACCCAGGGCGGCCTAACCCACTGAGCCACCTAGGCACCCAATAGTGATTATTTCTCAAAAGTTACTTGCAATGTGAAATCTGAATCATATGAATGACTTTTTCATACTCCATTATATGAAAATCCACTGCTTCATTTTGAACTTTGTTTTTTTAAATAGGCTCCAAGCCCAGAAGGGCTTAAACTCACAACCCTGAGATCAAAACCCGCGCTGAGATCAAGAATCAGCACCCGTAAGTCCATCTTGAACTTTGAATAAATCTTTCACCCAAGCATGGTTTTATATCATGCATTGGTCTTTGGAAAATACTAATTCACTGAATCATGCTGATTTTCTAAATATTGACACATTTCATTATACAATATTTTTTAAAGTCACATTTGTTAATTCCTCATCTCATCAGGAAAATCTGTAAGAAAGCTATCAAGCTCACAGTGGAGTATACAAGCTTTCCAAATTTCTAATTTTTGCTTGAAACCTCAAATGTAATCATTGGCACTGCCTTAAAATATAGCTTATTTTTCTTCTAATGACAAACTCATTTTATAATTTTCAAGACTACATCTGCTGAATACTCAAGTCTGAATAACTGCTTTCAGTTTTTTTAAATAAAAATGGTGTTCTGTGGGAAGAAAATAAGGGCTAATTCAGCTCACAATTCAGATGATTGCATAAGTGCTTTTCCTCAAAACAATCACCATCATACTCTGATATGCAACAAAAGTGTTCTGTATGTACTTCAAATTTTGTCACACAAAATATAAGAAGTTTTGTGTGAGGTATCCAGTGGCTCAGTCAGTTAAGTGTCTGCCTTTGGCTCAGGTCATGATCCCGGAGTTCCGGGATCTAGCCCCAGATCCGTTCTCCACTTGGGGAGTCTGCTTCTCTCTCTGCCCTCACCCAACGTGTGCACATGCATTTGTGCATGGCTCTCTCACTCTCTCAAATAAATAAAATTTAAAAAAATAAAAGTTATGTGTACTCAGGGTGCCTGGTTGGTTCAGTTGGTAGGGTA